ACTGCACTCGAGCCATGCCAACGAAATGTTTTCCTTTTATAAGAGTTGTCATGGTGTCTCTTCACAGCCATAAACACCCTAACGGAGACACTTTGAAGACATGGTACCACCAAGAGAACGTGGTGAGTACAGTGTGTGGTTCTCACTTTACTTCATGCGTGACTACCAGTGGCTATGGATGATTAAAGTGCGGGGTGTGACTGACGTTAAAGGGAAAGCACATGCTTCACGATGGAGGGAAGCATAATCTGGGACAGTGACCAAGCATGCCGTGTTATGAGGTTTTTTTTTTTTTTTTTTTTTTGAGCCTTTGCACACATTTCCTCCTTTAACACACACAAGAATTCCTAGAATTCCTTTACCTTTGCCAGATGAGCATTGGGGCCCTGGGACAATCATGTCATTTGTTCAAGATGATACAGTTAGTTGGGGGTGGGTCAACACTTGGACCCAAACCACCTGAATCCTGATCCTTGGCTCTTACATACGAAGGAAATTTAGGTCCCATTCTTTCTCCTTTCTTTACCTCTCACCCCGGACATACACAGACAGAGACTGAAAATCCAGAAACTGAAACTCCTATCAAAGTGATAGACGTGAAGTCTAATCAAACCAGAGGAAAGACTAGACCAAAGGAGGCAGTGGACAGTAGAAGGATCCCTAAACATCTCTAGTTAGCCTGCTTGTAAGGATCCCTGGACCCACCAATCCCCTGTGCAGGATGCCAGATTCTCTTCAGATCTAAAGGTGAACCAGCTCTTGATTAAATATCCGACTACTGACCCCAGTTACACTAAATGCTCTTTTCCAGGTCACTCCCGTGGATCAGTATGATTAATAGGACAGGGTGTGTACCTGATGCCTCTTTTGTGAAGAGGCAGCTGAGGTGACTCCAGTACTTGCCATGGTTGGTGAGAAACCCAAGGAGGGAGTCCAGACTGAGAAGAAGGATCACATTAACTTGAAGGTGGTGGGCAGGATGGCTCTGTGATACAGTTTAAGATGAAGAAGCAAATGTCGCTAGTAAACTAACAAAAGCTGCTCGGAAACTATTGTGAATAACAGGCTTGTCAGAGGTAGATGAGATCCCAGTCTGATGAGCTACACCCGACGGCACAGACACACCTGCACGGTTGGAAGTGGAGGAGGAAGACATGATTGATGCGTTCCAGCAGCAGACAGGAGGTGTCTACTAGAAAGGGAGCCCGCTACTTTACCCCAGGGTTTTGTTGAATACATTCTCAATTAGAAAGTCTCAGTCTGGTTCTATCACATCCTAGTTTTCTCTGTTCTTTCATTTCCCCTTCCCCACTTCTTTATTAGACACATGCATATTGTGTTTTCTTTCTTTTCTCTCCTTCCTCCCTTTCTCTCTCCTCTCTTTCTCTCCTTCTCTCCTCTCCTCTCTTTCTCTCCTTCTCTCCTCTCCTCTCCTTCTCTCTCTGTCTCTCTCTTCTCTCTCTCTCTCTCTCTCTCTCTCTCTCTCTCTCTCTCTCTCTCTCTCTCTCTCTCTCTCTCTCTCGGTAACCGATATACTATTCTGGTCAGCATCACATGGAACTGGTCTGGGGAAGGCACTGGTTCTGAGGAAATACCCCCTTCCTCCTTTAGTGGCACGTTCACTCAGCTCTTATCTCAAAAATCCGGGAAGTTATTTTGTTCACGTTGATTTAATTTAAAAGCTCCATGACATAGACTCTCTGTATACTTTGTTCATTTGGAGAATTTCACTTATCATTGTGCAACCAAAGACAAGCTTGTAATTTGTAATATAGCTGCTCCATGTAGGGAAATTGTCTTGAGTAGGGGTAAATTACATTGGAAAAAAAATGAATCCTTAAAGCCCCTTTAAGTAGGTATCTTCTTGTTTACATAAACTTATTTTTTAAAAAAAAAATTTATAGGATATATTTTTTATTTTTATATTTAGCAAAAGAACTTTAAAATGAAACAACCTATAAGAATAAAGGGAACTAACTATTTGGCCTTTAAGCCAAATACCAAGTCAATCCAGTCAGTCCAAACATCTATCTACAACTCAAGGAAATCAGTGAATGTAACTGTTGGAAAGAATCGTACTTAGCATAAAGCACAAGCCCATTTCCTATGGAAAATGCAGTGATTTCTTCATCCATACAAACCTCCCGGCAAGGAATGCCACCGAGCAGAAGGCCTCGCTGGGACTGCCTGCGCAGTCGCCAACAGAAGCAAAGAGGAAACACGTTGTCTAGGGAAAATACACCATTTCCTTTACTTGCCTCTCCCAAATGGAGCTGCTCTTCTTCGGGGACCAAATCAGGAGCTTGCTACAATCACACACACACACACACACACACACACACACACACACACACACACACACACACACAGAGTTCCGTTTTCACAGCCAACAAAAAATTAGAAGCCGGGTGAGTCAGTGAGGGTCACACAGCTGTTCCCAGGAAGCCAGGGTCTCCACGGTTGATACTTCCCAAGCACTCTTACCCAGCCTGAAGATCATGTCTAGAATCCGGGTACCCTCCAATAAACCAGCACCCCTTAAGAAGAAAACTGTACACGCCCTGTAAGTGTTCTGTATTTGGTAGAAACAGTTGTGTGAGCCACCGAGGAAGTTGGTATGAACTGCAGGGCTCTGAAGCACTGGACTGGGCTGGAATCAACTCACCCACCAGTTCTGGGGCTGCAGACAAGATGGAGATCTATGGAGGACCTTAACTCGAGGACATTGGAGGGGCGGTTCTCAGCCTGTAGATCGCAACACCTTTAAGGGTCACATATCGGATTCCGGCCTATCAGATGGCTACGTTGTGATTCATAGCAGTAGCAAAATTGCAGTTATGAAGTAGCAATGAAAATAATTGTATGGTGTGTGTGTGGGGGGGTCACCACAACATGAGGAACTGTATTAAAGGGCCACAGCATTAGGAAGGTTGAGAACCACTGCATCCGAGGGTACCCCAAAGGTACCCTCTGCATTGGGTATGAAAAGCAGAGATTTATCTGGTCGAAGGTATTCGCCTGGTTGATTTTCTCTGTAACTGATTGCAACTTATTTCATTTTAGTCTTGCTAATCCTATGACTTCAAAGATCTCATCTGTTGACCATTCCGTTGCTTATTAGAAAAAGTATGCGGGTCTTTTGATTCATCAGTGGGAAGGGGTATCCTTTAGCATGCTTAGGAAAGAGCAGGTCTGTATTTAGTCTATGTGCACTAGAAGCTTAGCCAGCCCTGTGCTCACTAGAGTGGAACAGTAGTGGGACTTTTTGATTTCTAGAAGTAAGTTTGTGGTGCCTTCCCCATTACTGACCCATGAGTGTAGATAAGAGGCCCAAGACCATCAGATCATAGTGTGAGCTATCTGAGGACACTCACAGACATGACCAGATTTCCAACCTACCAAAGAACCTGAAGTTAAGAAGCCTTCCAATTCCAGGCCCCGAATGTTAGAGGTGTGTCTAAATGCTGGAGTCCTCTTAGCAGAGACTTTCTGCTCTGCCCTGTCCATACTCATGACCCAAAGAACAGGTAAGCATAATGAAATAGTGTTTATACATATCGGTGTAGTCCCAGAAAATTGATTAAGCAGCAATAGACAACCATATGTACAAGAGAGGAAATAAACCCACTGTTTGCAGAACCCACACCTGGAATACGATCCTTAGCTCTGCGGAACACATTTCAGAAGATTAAAAAAAAAAAATGTACTCAGAAACAAGTAACAAGAATGTTCCTTTATGCAGGATAAGGTAGGGGTGGAAGGGTTGGAGATAGTTAATTGTCCTCAAATATGTGAAGGCTTACTGTGAATGAAAGTGGGAAAAAAATGCTTTACATTTTTCAAAAGGTAGGCATAGAGATGGGGGTTGTTTCCAAAGTGGAGTGCAAGATTTTCTTTTTTTCTAAGTCCTGAGCATTTGTGGAAGGAAGAGGAGGCCTAGGGGGCAGTGTGATCCCTTTGTAATGGGGCATAGATTGGAGGATGGCCATGTAGATAAGGTTGGGAGAGAATTCATTTATTGGAAAACAGGGCTCCATAAAATGCCTTTCCTTTAAGGTTCCAGTACAACACTAAGATGTTTTTAATCTAAAGATCATCCCCGTTTCCTTGTGCTAAGAAATCTAATCCTAACACATGTGGAACCGAGAGGGGGAAAAAAATACAAGATGAATACATTAAATGAAAGACAATACCAAAGTATAAATAGAAAGTGATACGGAACTTGAGAAAGGAACAGCAAAGGAAGAGGGAAAATTCACCCCAAAATTCAAAGAAACGTTCAAAGGTGGGGGGACAGGAACAAACCAGGGAAGAGCTTTAGGGGAGGAGGAGGAGTAACGTAGACAGGCTGGGGCCAGACAACGCCTGCCACCTTCTTGAGAAACAGCGTCGTCCTTAAGGTGGAGACGTCAGTGGAAAAGACATTCCAGAGACTGTGGGTAATGCGCCTGGCACCATTGTCCCTATGCAGAATGATAATTAAGGTTCGCTGGGACTGCTGGAAATGACACCTGTTTCCTGGAGAAATCAACGTGATAAAGAACACGTCAAGCACCCAGGAAATGAGACTAGTCCAAAAGAAAGGCCGGAGAAGAAACCACAAAGAGAAAAACATTTGAAAAAAAAAATTATCTCGTTCATGTTTGGTCTGTGTTTTATCACCACTGTAATCGAATTCTGAGGGTTCGTAATAACTTTAACTCTAGTTCCTCAACCCATAAACACATCATCGTTGTTACCCTTTGCAGGAAGAGTGGGGGACTCCTCTGATGTGGAAAGAGACAGAAGGAAGGAGTCACCTCCAGGAACAGAGGCAGGGAGTTCTGGAGACAAATGGTAAGAAACCATCATTGGTCATCAGCCTCAGTCTCCCAAACACTCATCACACCATAAGGTACCAATTCACATCATCCACGAAATATAAGGTTTTTTTTTCACTTTCATTTTAAAAAAATACATTCTTTTCCGTTGAAGAATGGAAATTGTATCTCGTTACTCACCCATTTCCTAGGTCTGCCTCTTGGCCGTTTTTCTCCAATGGCCTCTGCTTTCTGGAAAAAAAAAAAAGAAAAAAGAAAAAGGAAGTCATGTCTGACATTATTTACAAGTGCTGGACCAAGGGCTCTCTTTCCAGTTAGAATGTTCTGGACTGCATATGAGGTATCAAGAATGTCTTAACAACTTCTTTCTCTTGGATACTCCGTCTTCTGTGTTTTTTAGTGGATGCTTCTTTGCTGTTCGCTGTGTGATATAAAGAGGTATCTATGCAACCCCTCACCATAAAAGACTCCCATGGAGTGGTCTCTTATGAAATGCATGAATACGCTTTTGTGAAATCCACTTTGCCTTTGTTTCTGATCAGACAAAAGAAATATTCCCACACTCCATAATTTATGCAAATTAATATTTTACAGAATGAACATTCTTCTAATGGTCAAGACTCTCTTTTCAGTTACAACTAGCCACAGAAACTAATATGGACATATTAATTATAAATAATAAAGTAGTTCTTTCTATGCTACTATGGAAGGCAAATCTGAATGTAAGAAATAATACATAAACACTTTAATAAGAAACAATGAACATCTATCAAGTTCTATGTGGCTAATTTCCTGTTCTTTGCCCAAAACAATCACCTATTAATCAGTTGCCTAAGGCAGGGAGAGAGGGAGACAGACAGACAGACAGACAGATAGATAGATAGATAATTAAGATAAAACAGTAAAAATCACCAATATTTGTCCCAGAGATTTAAACCATAGCTGCATAAAAATTATTAAATAAAAAATGGGATTAACAATAATTCCACACTCAACAGGACATGGATCTATTTCCTGTTATCTTTCAAGTTTGTTTCATTGCTATACTGTATAGATTTTTCTGATATTAGTAATTTATTTCTATTTTAGTTCTAATTTTAGCATTCATAAAGTAATTAACCTTAGTCACCCTTACTCCATTCCCTAAACATGTCAATACACTGATAGACACACATACACACACACACACACACACACACACACGCACACGCACGCACACGCACACGCGCACACACACGCGCACACACACACATCTACCTTCAATAAAAAGCACACATACTTTTCTGAATAAAGAAAGCTGAGTACTTATTGTTTTGTGTATAAGAACCTTCCCAAGACTTCTCATGCAAAAATCTAGGCAGACTGAGTTGGAACAACTTGTTTTGGGACTTAGTTTTGTTACCTGAGTTAACAGCCAGTGGGTCTTGGTACAGTGATACTAAAATGAGATATTAAGAGCCTATCATGCCAAATGAAACATTCCTTCCCCTCTTCTACTTAATAAAAGCAGACAAAGATAGATAGATAGATAGATAGATAGATAGATAGATAGATAGATAGATAGAAAGAAACATGGATAGAAACATTGACGCGTGGATGGATGGATGGATGGACGGACAGACGGACGGATGAATGGATGGATGGATGGATGGGTGGGTGGGTGGGTGGATAGGTGGATGGATGGATGGACAGACAGACAGGCAGGTTTGGTAAATGATAGACAGACAATCTGCAGATAGACACCTGGCATTGCTATCCAGCCATGGGTTAATCCAGGCCCACAAATGTCAGAAGCTCTACATGATTATAACTTTACCTCCAATTTTTAAGCATTTAAAACACTCTGGTCTAAGTTAGGTACGCATATTACTTTAACCAACTTACAGCAGGCTTGTAACAGGAGCATCAGGATTTCATTTACTCTGCAGATGAGTGACTAAATCCTAAATGAGTTAGGACACACACAATGCCAGTAAGTGATGCACCTAAGATTCGAACCCAGCTCTGCTTGATTTCCAAAACCCCACCCACTGTTTGAGAAAGCTGTGGTAATAGAGCCACTGACTTGGCTCATTTCTGAGAATTAAGAGAAATTCAGGAGCTCTTAGCATCTTTAGCTAACTGCCAGATTTGGCTGTCAGTTGTTTCTGGGTCAATAATCTGAAATCAACAAGGATTTCTTTAAGGTCAAACTTAGTGCACTGTCTCACCTTTGGTCATGAGAGCATGGATTTTAAGGTAAAGGAAAGCTGGGCATGCCCAGAAAACCACACAGCCTTTCTCAATTGTCCTCTGGAGGGATGAAGGTGTCATGCTTTAGAAAGCTTAGGTCTAAGACCTTTCTCAGATATTCTAGCTTTATGACTGGGGATATGTCCCTGGAAGCCTTAATTTGATTTCCTCTGTAAAGTGGAGATGAGCTCTCCTTTGAGGGGACATTAAGGTACTTAGAAGTGCCCACCCTAAACAAGACGCCTCAAGTTAGTCCAATCCCACAGACAAAAATATTCCAGTATACTCAACCGTCTCCTTTAGAAGAAAACTTTGAAGAAACACAGGCTGGAATACAGTGAGTTGTAAAGGATCACAGGCCCTTGGGAGAGAGCAGCATTTGAGTGCATTTTGGAAGTAACTATAAGATTGCACAGTTTACCCAGTGATGAATTACAGGAACATGAAACACAGAAATCCTTTCTCATGGGAACTGGGTGGTCCTTGGAGTAGAGAGGAGGCTGCTATTAACCTTGAAGGTTAACAGTGCTCTGCCAGGGATTTCTATATAATTCTTACATCCTGGGGGCTATGATATGACCTGGGTGTATCTGAAATCTACCGAAGAGAAGGAGTTCTCTAAAAGGGGCTTTCCTGCATTTTAAAGTCAGAGAAAACAGATCTCTCAAAGAGGGAGGGGAGAGGAAGCCTTGCAAATACGATAACGTTTAAATGAGTATCCCATTCACAAAAAGCCCATTGAGAAACAAAATTCATACCATTAACGAAAGGGCACAAGACTGCGATTATCACTTGGACTTGTTAAAAGTAAACTTGCTCCTTGGGCATAGAGGCTGGTGTCCCATGTAAACTGAAACCCTCTTCTGAGATGACATCTAGGAGGAACATGCTGGATGCACTGTGTGGCCTCGATCTGGGAGGCTTGATTGTTCTCTAAAACCCACATTACTGGATCCCTCTGATCAAACTCCACAAAGGCTGCAAAACAAGCTGGGCTTTTAGTTTGTACACCAGAGCAGCTCCAGGGTTTTCAGAGACTGGAAAACTGTGGTTTTAACAGCTTTTGTGTATTGTGTCTCCAATGCTCTTTGGGGCGTTGTCTTTCAAAGAAGGCAAACAAAACATCGAGGGTACTTGTTTTAAAATATCAACATATACAATACTGTAAAAGCGAATGTTTGCCTTGCCTTTGCTGGGATAGATTTGGGGTCTGGATTCCATGTACATGTATAATTGAGACCTAACTACTTCTAAGTGTTTTCAGCTCTTCTAGAGGGGAGCAAGGAGAACCAGTAGGCTTTCTGCATTTGTGAAAACTAGAATTTCAGACTTTGACCAGCACCATTACACAAGTACCCACATCCCTCACACCACAGCTTATTCAAGGTGCTCTCCTCCTTGGTTGGCTCCATTATATTCTTTATGTCTTTGTAAAGTGCATAATTCAGAATTGCGTCCTAAATTTTAGATGTTGAGAAGCAAGTTCTCGAAAATGTGGTGGTGGGGGGGAATGCTGAATGGAAGACGTATTTCTTTATTTAAGAAGTGCTGGGTACTCTAAGCTTATTTAATGTTTTAAAAATTTTTAAAAAGGAAATTTATCTTGTGACCATCTCCCTTGACTTTGGAAATGGTGATTATGGTTAGTGTGGATCTATTAGAGGCGCGATTCACTACCAGTTTGTGAAAGGAAGGAAAAAAGAGAGGCATGGAAAGGGGGAGGAAGGAGAGAGGAAGAAGAGAGACAGTGGGGAGCCGGGAGACCGGGAGGTGAGAAGCATTGGTGTTTCCTGTGTGTTTTGTTGTCCTACTACCATCAAACCTGAAAGCTTCGTAAAACTTCAAAACCATCTCTTGGAGGCCTTTCATTTGACAAAGACGAATATATTTGGCTTATTGCAATCCCCAACACTTGTGGATTTCTTTGGGGGTTCAAAGTCTCTGCGTATTAGTGGCAGAAGGCACACATTTCTTTGCCCTCGTGTCTTCACATTCCTCACACTTCTAATTGAGTCTGTATTCAGGTCATTGAGGAAGCTGATAGACATCAGCCTTGTGGTTGGTAGTGTATAAACACTGACCAGTGCCTGGACGTGAGAATGAGTTTGAGAAGAGTAGAACACTGGACACGTGTCCGTTCACAATTTTGAATCAGTTTCTTTTTTTTTATCATTTGTGAAGACCACAGAGAGAATTCAATGAGAAATATACTCGTGAAGTCTCAGCAAGACTGCTGTATTGAACAGGCACTCAGATGTCAGGTAACTCTACTGCTTTAAAACAATGGCCCTGCGAAGAGTTCCTACTGAGCTTGGAGGTCTCCACAGTGCCATTCCGAGAACATTTCTATTTAACTCCTTCCCTGGTTTCCCACTTCGTGGGAGATTCTGTGACTTGCCGACCTTCGCAGGGAATGGAACTTGGACTCAACCTGATGTCAAGACGAGAGAGCTCTTTTCTTTGCTGAGATAGTCTCAGATATAAAACACAATGGCCACACTCTAGGCAAGGTATGAGGAGAAGAAGAGATTTTTTTCTTTTTTAAGACCAAGAAAAGAAAATTTTAAAAAGAAGAATGTGCCTTAGGATAAATGAGTAGTTAAAGGAAAATGCTTTCCCTCTTCCTGTATTGCTGTTAAGACATGAACGAGGGCGGTGGCTGAGAACTAAGAGACAAATTCAAGTCTGACTTCAGGTAAACATTCAGAGAGCTATCAAATTTTAATAATTCTAAATGTTCTCATCATATTTTTGTGTTACAATGGGCATTACCTATAAGCCAGCCATCCCTACTTCAAACCAGTAAGTGTTTGAACACAGAAAAAGAACTAGGAAAAAAAAAATTTGTTTTTAAAACCCAGCTGCATGAGAAAGTGGCTTGGTTTGTCTTCAGATATTTGTATTTTGATTTTTTTAAAAAAGACTAAATCCTGCTTGAACCCAATAGTATGCAGAAACACAAGAGTGTATGAAACTTAAGGATATCTAATCAAAATCCA